AGGGAAAAATTAACAAAAAAAGGAAACAAAATTTCATAGTCTATTTATTTCATTTTATGGCAAGCTCCATTAATTACAATGTAATGGGTGCAGTTAAAATAAAAAACGTAAGCAGAGTTAAGACCTAAGGCTTATGCCTCTGTCTCTATGCTTCTGTGCCCCAGTCACACAGGGCACATAAGCATGTGCTTAAACAAAATACAAATATAAAAAGTAAGTAAGAACTTGCAGTTGGATTCTGAAGCCCTGATCTAGCAAAGCACCTGGTTAACATGTGGCTAACATAAATACAAAGTAGTAAGAGATTAAGACCAAAAGTCTGCCTACTATCTTAGAATCATAGGGCTAGAATGAACCTAATCTTGTCCAACCCCTTACCCTGACACAGAATCTGTATACCTAGACTATTGACAAATAGTTGTGTCTAACCTGCATTTAAAAACTTGCTGTGAAAGAGATTTCACACCCCTCCTACATAGCCTTTTCCAGCCTCCATTGCCTGAATCATTTTGTTGTTAATTATACTGATTTGTTTCCTGCCCCATGTCTAATTGACATAAAGAATAAATGATCACTGCTCTTCTTTCAGCAACTTCATATATATTGAAAGACTATTACCACATTCCCTTTAATCCTCCCTTCTACAAATTTTTCTATCTGTCCTTATACGTCAGGTTTTTCCCGCATCTTCTCAATTCTTGTTGCTCTCGTCTAAACTCTCCATATATTTTCTCCAAACTGTCCCCATTTTTCTTGAAGTGTGATGACGGGACATAATACCCCAAGTGAGGTCATACCAGTGCTGAGTAAAGCAGAAAAATTACCTTTCTTGTCTTGCATATAATGCTCCTGTTAATACATCCCAGAATAAATTTGCCATCTTTGCAACAGCATCATATTATGGACTCTTGTAATATTGTATGATCTACAATAACCCTTGATTCTTTTGAGCAGTTCTACAACCATATCAGTTATTCCATAGTTGATATTGTACATTTAATTTCTCTTTCCGAAAGGTTCTTGGCACTTGTCTTTATTGAATTTAATTTTATTTCAGATCATTTCTCTACTTTACCAAGATCATCTTGAATTTTGATCCTGTTAGCCAAAGTGCTTTCAAACCCTCCCAGTCTGGTCTTACAAGTAACTCGTATAATCGTACTCTATTTGCATCAGTCAAGTCATTATGGAAAGTGTTGAGCAAAACCTGGCCAAGGACAGCCCTCTGTAGGATGCCACTTGTAATAGATTTCCAGATGGACAGCAAATGATTGATTAATACTTTTTATGTGTGTGGCATTTTAATTGGTTGTGTCCTCGCCTGATGGTGATTTCATTTGGGCCATAGCTTACTGATGGGAATATTATTTTGGACAGTATCAAAAGTCTTACTAAAGTCAAGGTTACTAAAATGTCTTATTAAAGTCGTATCTACTTCCTTTTTGTCCTGCATCATAGTTATCAGATCAAAGAAGTCAGTCAGATGGCTTTGACAGGATTTGTTCGGACAAATCTATGTTAGCTATCAAGGTTCTCTCTAAGGTGCACGCTTGCGCTGCCATGCACAACTAAAAGACTGGCTGTGCATACTGGGAGAGGAGCTGAAGGTAAGCTCCTAGGTGAGGTGGGGGCAGGAGTCTGGTGTGGGCTCCGCCGGCTCCGGGGAAGTGTTCCACCTCGGGGAGCGAGGAGGCATGTGGCTTCAGGGCTGGGGAGCGGAGCACTTCCCCGGAGCCAGCAGAGCCCGTGCCAGCCCCCCGCCCCAGCCTCTATCCCTGCCTTGCCACACCTTGGAGGAGCCACTGCCTGCCCCAAGTGAAGCTCAGCCGGCTCCGGGACACTGCTCTGCTCCCCGGCCCTGATGCCACATGCTTTCTCACTCACTGATCTCTGCTGGCTCCGGGAAAGTGCTCCACTCCCCAGCCCAGATGCGGGGGAGCGGAGCACTTCCCCAGAACTGGTGGAGTCTGGCTCCCAGCCTCTTGGCTCCAGCCCGCGGCTCACAGCCTCTTGGCTCCAGCCCTAGCCTCTCGGCTCTAGCCCCTGGCCCCCAGGCCCCAGCCCTCAGCCCCCTTCAGTAAGTGTCCCACGCCGGACCGAGGCAGCGTGCTCATGGACCGCTACTCCTTAGAGGGAACATTGTTGGCAATATTTCAGCACATTATTTTTCAGACGTTTATACATTGATTAATAATTTGTTCCAGAATCTTTTTGTCCTGCTACATTGCTTGTCCCAAAGATGTATGGGTTCTTAAAGTACCTGTCTTTTGGATGACTAATCCACCTCCTCATTGTGATAAGGCTATCTATTGCACATGGGTATTGCCCCTATTCATTTTCCCTTTTATCTTCCAGGCATTCAAGAAGTTTTTCCTTGCCTTTTCCTGAATTTTGGAACTGGTATATCAAGAATTTATATATGAGACAATACCTTTGTCCCCATCTCTTTCCTTCCTAATGAAGGTATTCTATCCCAATAATCCACGCCTTTGACTTGTCCCACCAAGTCTCTCTGATGCCATTTTTGCAGGGTAGTCCATCTGAAATTAGCCTCTATCAGTTACTCTTGAAATCATGGACAATTTTGCATACCAATGGCTTGGCCTGGCATTCTTCACATACTTAGCACTCTTCTTCCATCATAGAATGCTGTTCTGAAACTTTTATCTGCAAAATATTGTCCAAATATAGCTGTCAGATTAGGGAAAAACAAGACAGAGTCATCTTAAATTTGGTTACCACTTTTTCTCAGTTGCACACGCTCAGAAGAGATATAAATTTTGCATAATGTTTCTACTTGACTGAAAAAGTATTCAAGGAGTTGAAGATCTAGCCCCATATCAGGGAATTTGAGGATAGGAGGGAATTTTGGCATTACGTTAGAATCTTCAAAACTTCCTTCTTTTAAGCCAGAATTGTTTTTGTGAGTTTAATTATTTTTTTCTGCTAGTGTATGCTTTGAATTTTATACTTAGTGAGTATTATATTACCCTGGAATTCACCAAGAAATCACAAGTCTATGGAGGAGTAGAGCACAAATTTGGTGAACTCTCCAGGTTCTTTTGCCTTAAGCTTTCTAGGGCTAGGGACAGACATTCAAAAAGCCTGAATTAATTCAATCTTTGCAGGTCAGTCTCGTCTGATTAGGTTAAATCGGTTTCTAACCCAGACAGACATCCCAGAAATGCAAGGACATTCCTGAAGTGGCTCAGGCTGGAAGCCAGGCGGGCACTACAGCAGCCCTCCCTTTGCTTCCACAGGGCAGAGCTGAGGTGGGTGTGGCCAGGGCCCAGCAGGACGCTCTAATTATTCCTCCCTCTCTTGAGCTGCCCAGCAAGGAATGTTTATCACCCCTAATTCAGTATTTATCAACTCATTAAGAAAACAAAGCCTTTCTCCATTAACTAATGTACCTCTTCTTAAACAGCTCTTCCAAGGAAGGACATGAAGTACCTGCTGATTACCTCCAAAATGCGTGTCTGCCTCTGTCCTCTCCCACAGCCTAGACTTTAGCCAGCAGACCATCTGCTAGCTAATGCTGAGGTGTCTGCATAAGGCAGAGGGGAGTGGGGAATAATTCCTACATAGCAGGGAAAAGCCAGACAGATGCTTTGTGCCTGAAAGTCTGTGCCGAGCTCCAGCCAGGGAGTAAAGGAGATGGGCTAGCCCTGCTGTGGAGCCAAGAACCCTGCCCACCCCAGAGAGCATGCCGAGATGCTGGGGGTATCTGGGTTATCTTAAGCCAGCAAGGGGTCTGGATCAGACACTGCATGAACTGGTTTGAGTCATATCAGTTAAGTCTGATACTACATTCAACCAGGTTTATCTCAAACTGGTTTCAGCCACTTTAAAATGGGTTTATGTGAACTGAACATCTGTTCTGTTACAGGTTTAAACCAGTTTCTGATCACTTAAACCTGTTTATGTGTAATATCTGTCCCTAGTCCAGATGTAATGCTTCACACATGCCTTTTTAAATTTCATATTTGTTTCATGTTGCACTTTTTCATCCTTTTGCTTCCTTAGAACAATGAAAGTGAGTACAATAATGTAATAAGAAGCTCAGAAATTTGGATTGTAGATTTTTAGATGTACCATGTGTCAGGTTAAGCATAATATACTCTTGTCTGTCTAGACCAGGGGTCAACAACTTAGGGCCTGCAGACTGCATCCAGCCTGCAAAGAGGTCCAGTCTGGCACGGAGAATCAGTGGCATGGAGCTACACCATGCTGTGTTCCCTCTGTTGCACCATGGTTTGTGCACTTGTCTTGCTGCAGAGGGACTGGAATCAGCAGCAAGAATGAGTGAAGACAGCTGGCTGCTCAGGCGAGGGGAGGGGGGCAGAGATATCTAGGTCACAGCCACAGCTGGGTTGCAGGGTCCAGCCTATACTGACTAAAGCTGCCAAACACTGCTCTTGACTGTTAAAAGCTCAGTTCCAAGAGCAGTGTAATTAATGTCATATAAGGAAGTTACATCCTTTTAAGATGCCCAGCTATATCTCTCTTCATATATAGTGATAGGAAAACTTAACAGCTGCATAAAAGCACAATAGCTGATTTTTTCCAACATACATAATGAAGCAAGGTTTTTGCCATGTAGCAAATTCTTTGAATGGACAAAATGATTTTTGTTTTTTCTTTAAGGTACGTTGAGATCTTTTTTTGGCTCTTCTTGCACTCATACAATTCCCATTGGTACTAATGGAAGTTATTCAGACATTACTTAAAAGTAACTGTGCATTTAGAAATGTTTCCTTGCCCCCTTCCCCCCGATGTACAGCATATCTCCAAACAAGTGATAAATAAAACAAAAGCTAAAAAATGTTTACATTTGCCCCCTGAATGTGTTGCTTTCATTATTTTTCTGATTGTTACTTTTCCTTTGCTTATTGTTGACATTTTCTGTTGCTTGCTTCTAATTATCTTATATTAATTTTTCTCATTTGCTTTCTAAATTATTTTACAGCTATTCCTCTCCACTTCCCCAGTATGATTCAAGGTGATAACTATGTCCTTTCTGTGAATCCTCATTTTGTTTTCTTTATGTTAACTCTTTTTCCACAGTCAGACTGTGTAGATGTTTGTAGTACATCCACATCTATCCTCATCCCTTTCTGTAATTAAAGTAGAACGTTTGTTGTTTAGCTTTTAGATTTGTGTTTTAGAGATCATGCTGTAGCTTCCATTATTAGCCAGGCATTAATTTAGGTAAACATCAGCTACTAATCCTTTTGATAGAAACTGTGCATGAAGTATTGTTTGAAAATATCCACAATAATTATGTTTTTTAAAATGGAAAGTTGCTCCTTTGAAAATGAAATGAGTAAATAACAAATATGTTGTTGGTAATAATTATATTTTCTTGTATTTGATAATGTGTTTAAAGACCAGTCTCTGTTTTAAGAGGATGTCCAGAAAACTGACTGCCAAGAAGCAAAGGAAATTAGCTTGTGCTGAGCTCTGTGCTACTGTGGCTAGTTTTCTTTTGGTACCTAAGGTAGCAGACTTAAGGCTAGTTCAGGATTTCCTACACACTACTACAGACTGCAGTGTAGACCCAAGACTTAAGGCCAGATTCTTAACGATCATTAGGCATTTGACTCCATCGGTTAAAACTAAAATGGTTTGAAGTATTGACCTTTAAAAATACCTTTAAAATATGGCTACTGATATTTTGGTATTTGCTCATATTCTGCACTTTTTCTGATTGCCTGGGATTGTCACTTTGTATAAATGAGTTTTTTCATTATGCTGATTATGAGCTGATTTAAAATACTCAGACACAAAGGACATTTCCCACCTGTAGTGCAGTGTAGAACAATGTTATCTGTAGGAGATGTGAAGCAATCAAGCCAGGGACTATCCTCACTAAACTCATTGATAAAGATCCTTGGCCACAGAATAGTTTCTGCAGCTTTCTCTATGGAATATACACCAAGCATACCTCTCCTTAGTTATAGATGAACAGGACACATTACCTATGTTCTACTTCCCTATCTCTTTCTCACATGTGTATATTTTGTCTGATTTGGCCCTATGTTTGTAGCTGGTCCATAACATGGAAGCTTAGAAAGTAAAACACAGCAAAGCTGTAAGGATACAGTACCCTTGCTTAATATTTTATTTTGCTTTGTAAATGTTAACATACTCCTTGAAACCTTTTCACAGCCAGTCAGCAACTGGCTTGCTGCCTGTCTGCTTTGAAGAGCCTACCACTGACATTTCCCTGGTAGGCTCAGTGAGATCCTATCTACCATAAAAAGCAGTTACAGGAAAGAAAAGTAGCATAAACATTATGAAAGACAAATAATGTTCTATAACCAAAGGAAGGAGAAAAGCAAATTTCAACATCTGCTAGCAAAAAGATATTCTCATATTGACTTTAAATCACAAATTCAGCTAAGTTCATAGCCAATAAATGTCCTAGTCTATAGTTCTAGTTTAGTTGTAATTTTTCTTCAATAGCATTAAATATGGGAGGTACAAAAAGAATAAAGACAATTGAAAGACAAGATATAGAATCTTATTTATTTATTTGATTGTAATAATCAAATACTAGAGAATCAAAAATTAGAAATGTATTAACAGATACTAAAATTCATTTTTGTGCATTCAAGTATACAGATTTTGGTTTAAAAAAAGAGTTCCTCACCTAAATACAGTAGAATTACAAGATATATATAAGTGGTTAATATTAAGGATTATTTTAATAGTTTAACATTTAAATTATTATTCCTATATTCTAATAAATTATTATCCCAGTATTATAAGATTTTGGATTGATTTTTAATGACCTGCAGATCTAATATTTGGTCAAGTATTCTTATGAGAACTGTGCCCTCCCAGTGAATTTATGGAAAGACTTTCCATTAATTATTTGCCAAGGTGCTCCATAACTTGTAACTATTATTTATGAGATTTTGCCAGTAATCAAAATAAAATATGGGTATGATATGAATATTGTCACTTTTAACTCCTGATGAACTGTGGGGGCTTTTCCAGGGTACAACAGAAGGTTCTAGCCTTTATGTGGACCAAATTTGTGACTCTTCTTACGAAAAGGTGAACTATAAAACTGAATGGATTCTTCTGTTAAGCATCAGCAGGGCATGCAGGACACGGGGGCAGTAATGACTTCCGTTTGCTGCCAAGATCTCAATTGCAGTTGCAATTGCAGTTGCAGTTGCAATTGCAATTGCATGGATGCTGCTTTTTTTTCACCCCCTCCTCCAAGTTGGCACCTGCGGCAGTTGCTCTGTTCACCTGGCCCTAGTTATGCCACTGTTAAGGATTAAAATACTTAAGTATAGGAACTACTGGCAGTAACATAAACAAAATGGGAGCTATGTAATGGAATTAACAGCTACTCCATTTTTTGCAGGTCATTCACCAGGAATAAATAAGAGATATTTGTGCAACTATTTTATTTCTAAGCCGTAAACCAAACACTTAAATCCATTTTGCCTATTATATTTGAAAACAAAGAGGTAACCAAAAATTGCAATACATTTATGTTGCATTATGTTTTAGCACTTATGGTATGGAGCCATAGGATGGTATTTCAGAGTCAGTGAGGATAAACACAATTTCTATTCATTTCTAATGTAAAATGAGTAATCAAATCCTTTAGCTAACATTGAATGTCCATTAGCTACTGTGAGATTAGCTTCTATTTTTCTAACTATTGTTTTATCATCTTTGTCAAGGGTACCTAGATTTTTAGGCAGATGTGTTTTTTGAATTTGAAGTAGACTATAAGTAATTTATTAAACTGCGTATTTAATTAAAGAGAGTTTCCTTTTAAATCTAACATGTAGAGTTTTAAAATGATTTTATTGCAAACTAGTTTTCTTTTAATTATTCAAAAAGATACAGATAGTGGGAAAAACTCTTTAGAAATCCAAGACATGGGGAAAAGGTCATAATATTCCTTCTAGGTTAATTTGTTTCTAACAGCCATCCATATTGATATGATGTGGTAAAATAATTGATTTTAAGCAGGGTTAAGTCTACAGGAAATGACGTGTTTAATATTCTGATTCATGCATATTTACCAGAACCATGTAATAATTATGCTCATCATATGCAGCATTTATTCTGCAAGCTTGTTAAGTCTCCTTGAAAATGGGTATATGATATCCTTTAGAAGGAATGAGATCCAGATATTAAAACATGAATGTGTGTTTTCCTTATAGTATGGAAAACTGGTTCTTTTGTGCATGTAGAATTCATTATTTTGCATTATAGAACATAGCAGAACATTTAGTAACAGAGAATATTTTTAAATTCACTAATAAGACACTAATAAGTTAAATATGCTTACTCTTTAACCTTAAATATTCAGTAGTACATGGATTTTTTCACTATTGTTTTACTAGACCAATAGGATTTTTTTTGTTTATTTAAAATTTAAGTATAAATTTAAGGAAGAAACCTGGTAACAATTACCTTCAGAATTTAGCTGGAAGAAAGGGTGTTTTGCTTTAAGGATAGTGTTACTTATTGCTTTCTTCAAAATTGTTGATTTCACTACACTTTCTACTGAATTAAATGAAGTTTTCTTGATTTTTGACCATTTTAATGACAATCTCCTTTTCTCTACAGTTTTCTGGTTAGTTTTATGGTTGATGCACGTGGGGGTTCAATGAGGGGTAGTCGCCATCATGGAATGAGAATTATTATTCCACCACGCAAATGTACAGCACCCACCCGCATCACCTGTCGATTGGTAAAGAGACATAAACTGGCCAGCCCACCACCAATGGTTGAAGGAGAAGGATTAGCCAGTAGACTAGTAGAAATGGGGCCTGCAGGTGCTCAATTTTTAGGGTGAGTTATTATGTGAATTTCATTGTTGATATTCATGTTGCATCTTTCATTTCCTTTACCTTGAGGATCTGAGTAGTTACTTATTGAATCTACTTAACTTGATCATTTAAGGTAGGCCTCCAATTCTTACACTGCAGATGAGACTCAATCCTACTATTCATAACCAGGAAAAGTGTTCTTTGACTTGGATGAAATTTTGCTGTTGTGATGATGGAAGCATTAGGCCAAAAGTAAAAGGCCAAATTTTGCCCTTGGCTTATCATAAATAACACCCTTTGAAGTCAAATGTAGTCATGTCAGTGTGTGTATGTGTATAAATATATCTCCAAGAACAGGATTTGGCCCTCAGGCTGAATAGAAGTCCTGATGAATATCACTCATAAGGAAGGTTGCTGAAATCATCTACCAGTTTCCAGATGTAGGGCTGTGTTTTCCACTTGACATGTGTGTATGACTCCTGCCTATTTTAATGGAAGATACCCACCAACACCTGATGGAACTTGGACCAATGAATGTGATTTCAGAGCACTTAATATAGAGCATCATTTCCTACAAATGCTAGGATCTGACTTTTTAAAAGTTTAATTTAAGGGAAACAATCCACTATGATGTGGTAGTTTTTTTAATTATAAATTTTGTTCATTACCATTAAGTGGTACCCTGGTGAAAACTGCTGGTTCTGTCAGGAATGACAGCTTGTTCCTAATATCCCCTTCTTGTTTCTCTTCCTGCTGCATGGATGTTATTCAGTAAACTGCATCTTCCTACCAATCCTCCCCCTCTAAATGAGGGCGAGAGCATGGTTAGCCGAATCCTGCAGCTTGGGCCTCAAGGAACAAAATTTATTGGGTAGGATATTTACAGAAAAGATACAGAATGTCTCCAAGTTTTTGTTTGTTTCCAAGTTTTGTCATTCCCATAATTTTTTTTCAGTTTCCTTAAGCTTTCAGTTGATTTATGTCACTGAAAGAATATCATAGTGGCTTGACTTACTATACCTCTGCTACTGTAACTATCTTGTGCTTCTAGGCATGTGAAATTCACTGCAAGCATTCTATTTTCATAACTTCTGTGCTTTCGTAATTTTTTAAATTTCAAGTGTTTCAACTGCATCAAATACATTTTAATATAGAGTGACAGTCCTTTAATTTCAACTTTTGTGGTAGAGAAGGTATTTACAGGCTCTGACTTGATCCACTTCAGGAATAGCATTGTCATATGTGGTTTTGCATAGTGTCCCTATTTGTAATAATGGGCTGGAAAAATAAATCACTAAATAACTAATATTTAATAACTGTGGAGAAATCTTAACCATTTAAGCTTCAGTAGGCATGAGTTAAATTAAATATCAAACATAAAATTTGGTGCATTTTGGAAAAACATAAAATACTCAAAGAGGTTGCAATAGTTATCTGGAAAGTGGCAGTAACTGTTCTCATCTTTTGAGTCTCCAGTGAAACTTTATTATGAAATTTAGTTTCTTAAGTTTTTTAAAATACCAGTTAGAGTTCAGTGTTCAATACCTGTTTAATACCTTCTCACTGGCTATTCCTTCTTGTACATCTTCATGTACAAAATAGCGTGGTTCCTAAATATTTACAGAGACAGTATCTGATACATTAACCTGCCAAGATTGTATTAAAATGTTAGTTTTGGTAAGATTGTATTTTTTAACTCGATGTGCACATGAAAATAACCAATTTAGGCAACAGTATTTTGAATTTTTTATATACTCCCACCATACCACCTGTATCACCAGTCAAAAGATTAAGATGAAAATAACAGAATTCTAGAATTTATACAGCTTCTAAAAAGATTTATTAAATATTCTCCCTTTTACTGTTTTTATGAAAATTAGCATTATCTCATTCCAGTTGCCTTGGTTTTTAGTGTAAACAGGCTCATTTAAAAATATTTTGTGTCTTTATTAACAAGGGCTGCTTCTGTGACTTGCATAATAAAATGACATTGATGGTTGGACAGTCCTTTATATTATTATTATTTTTTCCCCTCTTCTGATGTTACCTTTAACTGAGCTGCTATATAGAGGTGACGTTCTAATTTACAAGCTCTGTAGGAAAATAATGATACTGTCTATTTAAATGTCTTAAAGCTGCATAATCCATAATTATTTACCTATTTCATGGTTTCAGTCAATTTGCTTTAGCACATTTTAGAATGCTTATCTTGTCTGTAAGACATTCAATAAAAATATTGTCTTGTTGAGTAGTGGCACTTGAAAAGAACAGCAGTTTCTTTTGATTTATTCACAGTTATCATTTAATTACATGCTTGAAGTCCTATGTATAAGATGTACTGTCAGGTCATTCAATTGTATTGTTTTATTCTCCTACACTTAAAAACAATTTTAAGATAGCTACTATCAATGTATTTATGCTGTTATTTAAACTGAAAGAAAACAATTTTGAGAGCATTTAACCATTTCCTAGCAGTTTTTATGACACAGCTGTTACAAACTTGCATTCATGTATGGGAACCAGAAACTGAAATTGGCTGGTAGCAAACCATCTAGTTTATTAGCCTGAATGTACAGAGAATTCAAAGGAACTGCTGAATAATTTATTGGATTTTTCAAATTTTAAGAAGCAGTAATATTAGGATTTGGAAATGTTTTTTTTCCTTTCATTTTTCTCTGTGAATATGTTAGGCCCAACCCTACAGTGTGTGTGTGTGTGTGTGTGTGTGTGTGTGGTGGT